TTCTTTCCAGTTTAAAAACTACAATGTGAGCTGTGGCATGCTAGCCTAGTGGCTAAAGTGCTCGCCTTGCATGCACTGGGATCTCATATGGGCGACGGCTTGTGTCCGGCTGCTCCACTTCCCATCCAGCTCCCTGCTGGTGGCCTAGGAAGGCAGAGGAGGATGGCCCAAAGCCTTGGGACCCTCTACCCACATGAGAGACCCAGAGGAGGCTCCTGGCTTCAGATCAGCTCAACTCTGGCCATTGTGGGCACCTGGAAAGTGAATTAGTGAGACAAAAGACCTTTCTCTCTGCAAATCTGCCTTTCCATTAAAAATAAATCTTAAAAAAAAAAAAAACTATAACATGAATTTATATCCAAAAACAAAATTTGGCTCCGAGGCCACTTAAACAGGAAGACACATTAATAGAATCTATAAGAAAACAGTGCAGGGAAGCAAAATATATTTATATTTAAGTCACATAAAAACATTGGTATAATCTGTCAACCACTCCAAAGTCATTTTACTGGGAATGAAACTGGAGTTCTATAAACCTACACTGGTGGAATAAATACTGCAGGAAAAGACCACCTTTTGAAAAACAAGAGTCATTTCCTCCAAAATCCTGGCCACTCCACAATGGGAAACCATAGAAGTGGACAAGAGAGTGCACAGTGCAGGTTCTTATACAGAGGAGTGAGAGTGCTGGTTCTGCATAGAACCCTGCAAATCTAAGGGGCACAAACTCAGACATACCGCATTGACTTCAGATCCACGACCCTAAAAGGCTGCAAGTCGGGCAGTCAGGTGGGCAACAGATTTGAGAATGAGTAGTCAATGGGACAAAGAATAATCGGCAGAAGCTACTACACACCTCTATTTATAATAGTTCTGAAAGGTGGAAATGGAGAGAAGACTTCCAGTATCCCCCATGTTACCACAGTACTCATTTAGCTAGAAATCACCACTTCACAAACCAATTATAACTGGTGACATCCATTGTTCTCACCAGAAATTCAAAAAAACAAATTTTATCCACTGCTGTTTACTACTCGGAATCCAAACTCTAGGGTTCAACCATCAGTCTATATATGTCAATTTTCTTATAGGTATAATTGGAAGAATACCACTTCCTCCAACCATCACTGGGCTTTCAATGGGATGATCTATGTCGGGGCACCAAGAGGAGTCTCAAGGGAATGTGGAAATCTCAGCCCTGAAGTTTAATACAAGACGTTGTAAGACACCCAGGACCACCAGACCTCTCTACCGCTACTCCTCTCTCATTAAAGTTACTAAGTCTACCGTATTGTGAATCTTGATTTTTTAGTTATTCAAATTTTATAAAGAATCTCGATGCTTTTAAAGATTTATATTTGTTTTTATTGGGAAATTGGATCTATAGAGACACAGAAAGATCTTTGATACATTGGTTCACTTCCCAAATGGCCACAAGGACCAGAATGAAGATGACCTCAAGCGAGAAACCTCTTTCCCAGTCTCCACATGGGTGCAGGGTCCCAAGGACTTGGGTCCTCCATTCTCTGATGCTTTTCCAGGCCATAAACAGAAAGCTGCATGAGAAGTGGAGCAGCCAGGACACAAACTGTTGTCTATATGGGATGCTGCTGCTTAAAGGTGGAGGGTTAACTTGCTGAGCTGCCCCAGAGCCCCCACTGCTATTCAACAGAACAGCTCACGCAACAGCACCTGAAAAAGATCAACCTAGTAACAGGATTCACTCTAACAAGCTTCATTCTTCTGAGAGCGACAGCTGAAAATTCATTCTGTTCCTCTGCGTTACACCTGTAAATGCTTTCTCCAGAGGCCTCAATGGTTACCGACCACATATTCTATCTTTATTTGAAAAGCAGACTGAAGAGAGAAGGAGAGGCAAGAGTTTCCATCACTGGTTCACTCCCCAGACGCCTGGAACAGCCAGAGATGCCCAGTCCAAAGCTAGGAGCTTCCTCCAGGTCCCCCATGCTGGCCTCCCAAGGACTTTGGCCATGTTTCACTGCTTTCCCAGGTACATTAGTTCAGAGTTGGACTGGAAGTGGAGCAACTGGGACTCAAACAGGTGCCCATATGGATGTTAGATAGGCAGGCTGGAGCTTAATCTACTATACCGCAACGTCAGCCCGATCAAACCCACATTCTAACAATAAGGAATCAAAATTCAATCCTGCAAAATAAATCCCTACTCAATTTCAACTTTGTGCCTTACAGGTGCAATGTGTTCTATAATTATTACATACAGAAATACTGCAGGTAAAAGAGCATGCAGAAAAATTAAAAGGTTAACTCTTGGGAAAAATAAATCTAAATGGCCTTGTTCACAATTCTTTTCAGGCAAACTGTACATAAAGGGCTTTCAGACTTCCTAAATTATGTTTAAAAATATTCAAAAATCAAACATTTACTCTCCCCTAGTGCCACCAAAGTTCAACGGTGTTGTATAAGGCTTCTACCTACAAATCTGGTTGGTTCAAATTAAATATTACTTGACTGACTCATGGAGGGAGTGGTCTGCCTTACGCTGTTCTGAGTCAGAAAACACCCGGTTCAGCAGTTCTCAACTATTTTCAGCAGTTCTCAACTATTTTTTCATTTGTAAAGGTATTCTAAAACGCCAGCCTTCTCCGGCTACTAAGAATAACAATGAAACTCTTGCCCAAGTAGCAGTCTTACAAGGAGCAGTAACTCTTGACTGTGTAGCTCAATTTATAATGGACAAGGTGCTTTCACATCTACTTTCTCGCTGGTTGTTCACTTCTGATTTATGGAGAAACAGACTAGCAAAGTGACAACTTCTAGTTGACTCTCAGCTGCAATAACGATACTCTTCCAACACACACAGAGCATTTCTTTAATCAGACTTCCCTCTCCCAGACATACCTCAGGTGCCTCATAAACTGTCTCAGAAGCACACACCCTGGGGCCCCCAGAGTTTCCAGCAGAATCTCCTCCCACATGAAAGCCTACTCTGGGCCCTGAGAGCCTCGGTCAGCAACTCCTCAACACCTCCTTGCCTCCAGCCATTCAGTCTTCTGCAGAAGCGTCAGGCTCTCCTCAGAGGAGACACCAGTCACTAGACAAGTCCCAGAGCGGTCACCGCCCAGGGCTTTAGCCAGTCTTGAACTGTGAATCCAACTCCAATTTTTATCATTTCTATTACCTGGGACAAGTAACTGAACTTTCTGAGTCTGCATCACGGTGGAAAGCTTAGGAACCAAGGGAAAGATCAGGTCATCCACGGCTGTACCCCCTTTTGCCCCCCAGTGCCTGGCAAAACGTGCCAATTGCAGACACCCACCACCTCAGTCATGGCTCGGAGGATTCAGTGAGTGTACCAAAACCAGCACCATGGCAGGTAGTTCACACCAATCCCTACCCCTCCAAAGAGCAACACTACTACGCTCATGTCTGAAACCAGGGCCTGCTAGGGATTGAGAAAAAGACACTATAAGAAAAATACAGTAACCAAACTGAAAGAATTCCAACTTTGAAAAGCCATCATTGGGCCCAACACGATAGAGTAGTGGTTAAAATTCTCGCCTTGCACGCGCCGAGATCCCATATGGGTGCCAGTTCTAATCCCAACAGCCCCACTTGCCAACCAGCTCCCTGCTTATGACCTAGGAAAGCAGTCGAGGACAGCCCAAAGCCTTGGGACCCTATACTCATGTAGGAGACCCGGAGGAGCTCCAGCCGTTGTGGCCACTTGGGGAGTGAACCATCCGATGGAAGATCTTTCTCTGTCTCTCCTCTCTCTATACCCGCCTTTCCAATAAAAATAAATCTTAAAAACAGACACATGGTCTCCTAAGATCACAAGTTGTAAAACCAAGGTGCTCCTCCAAGAATCGCTACAAAGCACAAGTCCATGACAATGGTTAATCCATTCACTGTCAAACTTCCTTGCCAGGATCACAACACCCGGCAAATAATTTCTCACCGGTCCTCACCAACACCCGGCCCTCGGGCACTGCTTCTGAAACTGGGATAATGGGTCATTTCACACTCTTTAACTTCTTTGCACACTCCCATGCCACTTTATGCTGGCAATCACCGCATGGTGATGAGTAGGGCAGCCAGGAAGTCCCAAATTCTCCCCCAGCACTGGCTTCAGCTTCCCGGGCCAGAGGAGCATTTGCTTAGCTGCTCCTCACTTCAGCCGACATTTCTTAGAGAGATCCCAAGATGAAACACGAGCCTAGCAAGGGGTCATCGCCACACTCTCACTGTATTTCTCGGAAGTCCCTAACAGGCCACAGCCTAAAGCACCTCACTTGGATGGACCCAACCACCTTTCACAGACACCTCACAAAGTTCGTGCTTTGGAGCACGGCGACCGCAGGGTCCCGAGCAGCACTCAGGGGCCCCGTCCTCAGAGTCCCCAAACTACGGCAGGAAGGCAAGCGCGTCCTTGGGAAACGTGTAAAAGTTATCACGTGGGGAGGGGGAGGGAGTTTAAGAACAAGCCACATCCTTTTTCAGAAAAAAAAAAAAAAAAAAAAAACAGCTAAGAGATCACGTCTCCAGAGTTAAAAAGATTCTTACCACCCCTTCCTCATACTTGAGCCCAACGACAAGAAGCTTCTGGAGAGAAACGCCCCAATCCGAGACGTCGGGGCCAGCGTGGCCACACAAAGACCGAGGGCAAGGGCCGCCGCGCCGCTGGACACGCGCAGGCACACCCTTCCCCGGCCACTCCTCAGCCCGGGGGGCTCCCCCACACCGCGCTCCTGCACCCCGCTGCCGCCGACCGCTCCACGGTGCCCCCCAACACCCCACATTCCCGCACACGCTCGCCGCTCACGCACCCCCAGCTCTCCACGCAGCCCGGCCGCGCTGCCTCCGCCGCCACCCCCGCCCCCGGGGCCGGCCCGGCCCTCCTTCCGGGGACGTGTCTCAGGCCTGCACTAATGGCAGCGGCGGCGGCGCCTCCCGCCCTCCTCCCTCCTTTCCCCGGGGGCGCCGGCGCTTGGGGGGCCGCCCGGGAGGGGCGCACTCACGCTGGCGAGCTGGGGACTGGGCATTGAAGTCCGGCGGCGGCGGGAGCGAGGAGGCGGGCGCCTCTCCCCTCAGTCACCTCGGCGGCGGCGGCGGCGGCGGGAGCGGTGGTGGCGGCGGCGGCGGCGACTCCCCCCCAGCCTCGGCGCGCGACGCCCGGCCCGACCCGGCGGCGGCGGCGGTGGCGGCGGCGGCGCGTGTCCGCGAGTCCGTCTTGCTGCTGCTGCTGCTACTGCTGCTGTCGCCGCTGCGTCCCTGGCTGCTGCTGCTGCTGCTGCCGCCGCTGCCCCCGCTGCCGCCGCTGCCCTGTGGCGTCACCGCGCGCCCCACGCCCGACCGCCGCTGCCGCTCCAGCAGCTCCCGGACCGACGACGGTTACAGCCCGGCCGATCGCGCCGCCGCCACCGCCACCGTTGCGCGCGCAACCGGAACCAGCTCCCGCCACCGCCCCTCAGAGGGCGCTGCGGGGCGCGGCGCGCGAGGCCGCGGCCCGCCCCCCGCGCCCTCTGATTGGGTGACTGCCAGCTGATCCCGCCCACCTACCCCGCGGGGCGCTGACCCACTGCCCTCGGCGCCTCCCCCGCGGCTCCTCCTTGTGGTTCGTTCCGCTACGAACACCCGATTACGGAAGGCGCGTCCATGTGACCGGGCCGGGGGAGGCGGGAAGCGCCGGGCCGCCCGCCCACGCTGCACCCCGCCCATCCGCACCTGGGTTCGGGCGAGAGCTTGCGACCGCCTTGTGACCCGCAAGGTCGCTGGGCCCTTTCCCGCTCCGGGCCGGTGAGGCGTGCGGCCAGTTCCTGATGGGACGGGGCGGTGGCGTGTGAGTCTTGTGCTCGGGGATTTCCAGCTCAGAAGTAGGAACCGGGGCAGCTGAGTTCTTGTCTGCCCTTTCTGGAAGCCGCAAGTAAAGTAAATGGCGTGTGGGTTTTCTTGAGAGCTAGTTCTGCCCTACCCCCACACTGCTCTTCCCGCGGGACACATACGCACAGCCAGACCTCAGAACCCTGCCCTCAGACTTCCGGGATTACTTTTGGGCAAGTAATTTCCCATAAATATTGTCAAGCATTTAAACCATATCGGCTACCTCGTGGACTTTTTTTTCCACGTATAGATAGACGCCTGACACAGAGGAGACCATACGTTAACAGTGTTTCCAGACAAACGTCCCCTTTAAGGATGTCGATTATGGGTGGAGTCCAGCGTAAAATCTTATTGCCTTTTACATTTCGAAACTTACCAGAAAACCTTGACCATGACAGCCAAGGAAGAGTCCCTGAGGTGGGAGGAGTCTTTTCCCCTGAAGAGGTGCAGGGAGTATAGAAGAGGGTCTGTCCTCTCTATGCATCCTGGGATGGCTCACCTGCCCTGAGATTGGCACATTTCTAGAAGGAAATAGAACTGCCACTTGGGCTACCTCTCTGTCACCTCACCATCCCACAAATATGCGTTCATCCCACCTGTGGGGAAAAGCGGTGGTTAGCTCTTATTAGCCCTTCCCCACAAGGTAGACCTGGGGCATCGCTTATGACCAGAAGGCTGCCATTAGAGCTTAGAGTTTTTAAAAAAAAAAAAAAACCTCTATGACTCAGCTGCATCAGCCCAGCAGGTGGCCAGGCAGGGGGGTATTCCAGGGCAAGGCTGGTCAGCACAGCTGTGTGGGAGGTGAGGTCCTTGAGGTGCAACAAGCCCTGCAGATTAGAAGCACAGCCCTGGGGGTGAAGAGTGGGGGCACCCAGGTTCGGTGCCCCCCTGCCCTGTGCTCCAGCTGCCTCCAGCAGGCAACATGATTCACTTTCTGGAAGCACACAGTTGAACCAGGGAAGTACAGTAGCTCCTCTGTAATGTGTTGGTTGCCTCTTGGTTATTGGTTTTTCCCCTAAAGTCTGCAAACATCTTAGGCAATCTCCTACCTAGTGCTTGGCCTGTTATCCTGTAGATGCCTATTTTTGTGGTTCTCTCCCTTTTTTTTTTTTAAGAGTATTTTTATTGGAAAGGCAGATATACGAAGAGAAGGAGAGACAGAGAGATAGATCATCCATCCATTGATTCACTCTGCAAGTGGCTGCAGCAGTCAAAGCTGAGCTGATCCGAAGCTTCCTCCGGGTCTCTCATGCAGGTGCATGGTCCCAAAACTTTAGGCCATCCTCAACTGCCTTTCCAGGCCACAAGCAGGAAGCCGGGATTAGAACTGACACCCATATGGAATCCTGGCTCATGCAAGGCAAGGGCTTTAGCCACTAGACTAACGTGCCAGGCCTGTGGTTACCACTTATTAAGCATCTAATCTAAGTCTGGAGGAACATGCTCTAAGCGTTATCCATTTATGCTTCAAAATAATCCCAGGGCCCAGAGTGATAACTCAATTGGTTAATCCTCCCATTACAAGTACCAGGCTCCCATAATGGGTGCCAATTCATGTCCCGGCTGCTCTACTTCCCATCCAGCTCGCTGTTTGTGGCCTAGGAAGGCAGTGGAGGACAGTCCAATGCCTTGGGACCCTGCACCTGCATGGGAGACCTAAAAGAGGCTCCTGGATCCTGGCTTCAGAACAAACTCAGTGCCAACCATTGCAACCATTTGGGGAGTGAACTGGCAATGGAAGAGCTTACTCTCCATCTCTTCTATGTGTAAATTTGCCTTTCCAGTAAAAATAAATGAATCTTTTAAAAAAAGAGAGATGATTATTCTTTCCTCCCTCCCTCCCTCCCTCCCTCCCTCCCTCTCAAAAACATCAAAACCGTACAAAAAAGGCATTATTACTTTGTTTCATTAAGAAATATATTTATTTATTTTTGAAAGAATTACAGAAAAGGCACAGATGTTCCATCTGCTAGTTCACTCCCAGAAATGGTCTCATTGGTTGGGAGGTGGCACTGACCACACCAACGCCAAGAACTGAGAGCCCCGTGCAGGTCTCCAGGACCCAGCTTGCCTTCTGGGGCCTAATCAAGCCCACACTAATGGCAGTGAGGCCTCCCTCATTCCCCTTCTCAGAGGGGCCGCTGTCACCCTGGAGAGCTGCAGAGACTGGGCAGAGGCCAAGGACTCCAGCCAGCCTCCACTGTTTTCCTAGGCACTTGAGGAGGGAGCTGGATGGGAAGTAGAGCAAACGAGACTCAACTCAGTGTTCACATGGGATGCCAGTGTCAAAGTGAAGGCTTAATACACTACGCCATAATGCTAGCTCCTTGCCCTGTTGGAAAAGGGAACAGAGGCTCAGAGAGATGGAAAGACAGTAGCAGGATCGAGCCCAGGTTTGTCTGCCTTTGGGGCCCACCTCAATATGGCATCAGCTTTGGGCTTCAGTCAGTGAGTCAGGTGGCTCAGAGTAAACTAGACCCCCTTCGGCAGTGCTGGCTGGGCACCACACTCTGAGAATGGGGGCCCTGAGACCATGGCATATCCACCACCCTCCCTTGCTCCCAGGTCAGCAGAGATGCTAGGACTGCTCACGTGCAGATGGGCTCACCAAGCAAGCTGTAACGTGATTACTCCTCTACACCTCCCACAGGGAAGGGCCTGGGCTACAGGCACCTTATTACAGCAAGGAACCACCCTTGGTAGTGAATGACACACACGATCAAGGCCCCGAATTCCTTCAGGGCCTTTAGTGAAGCATTCCAAGTGTCATTAGCTTATGAATCCTCCCAGTACCCTGTGAAGCAACCCTGATGGTGTTCTTGAGCTTATTTTCCGGCACCTTTGCTTCCCCGGAGCGCGTGCGTGCCTGTGTGCACACACAGAGAAAGAAGTCAACGGTGAAATAGGCTGCATTTCAGAACTAGCCAAACCTCTTAGGCAGAACCCTCAGAATATGTACACACTGAGACTCTGAGTTAATATGAGGTGGTGGTTCCTCATCCCTGGGTACTGGGACATGTGGAAAGTCATGTGTGGTTCCCCCTTTGTCTCTCCCCTCCCCCCAGAAACAAGAAGAAGCAGCAATTTTCCCTAAACCTTGATCCTTCCCACTCTGATCCACAATATAATCATCATAAAAATATAAAATTTATATATACAAAAGGAAGTCAAGGCAAGGCAGAGAGACTGAGGCCCTTGGAGGCCAGGACACAACCCAGCTGCCAGTTCACATACTAGCCTTCTGCTGCCGCAAGGGCATCCATGCATTGCCATTAAGTTACTATAAAAGCTTAGGAAGTTACCACATGGCTGGGAGTCTCAGTTTCCCATGTTTAAAATGGAGAAAGAAACATGCTTTGGCTCGTACTGTGTTGCTTTGTTTAAGTTTTATTTACTTGAAAGCAGAGTGACAGAGAGGGAGAGATCTTCCACCCATTGCATCACTCCTTACACCTGCAGCAGCTAGGACTGGGTCTGAAGCCAGCCAGCCAGGAACTCCATCCTGGCCTCCCTCATCAGAGGAAGCGACTCAGGCCACCATCTGCTGCCTTCCCAGGGACATTAGCAGGAATGCTAGATCCGAAACAAAAGTGACACTCAAACCGGACCTGGTGACTGGAGAGGCATGGTTCCCAAGTAGTGGTTTAACCCACTGTGCCACAATGCCTGTCCTGCCTCATAGAGTTTAGGGACACCAAAAAGTTAGTGCCCATAACACGTGCTAAGTCCATGCCTAGTCGTTATCTATGGGTAATTACTAGACTAGGAATGAACAAATAGCGTGAGCTGTGATACGATTGCCTCTTTTGTTCATTTCAAAATGACAAGCTGTCCTGCCAAGAGCTTTGTGATCTGGAACGCCGTGTCTTAAACTTCATGAATGAACTTTCAGCGTCTTCTCTAAAATGAGATGATAGTTGTGAAAGGGCATTGTAAACTGTCAAGTGCTGTAAAAACATTAGCTGTGGTTTTAGGGAAAAAGCAAGACTCAGAGCTATGTGCCTTAAATCCCCAACAGCTAGTTTCATCATTTGTAACACGTGCATGTCATGGTGGTAGTGTGAAAAATGATTGGGGCAGGTGTTTGGGCAGTAGTCGTAATGCTGCCTGGGGCACCCACAACCCATAGCAGAGTCCTGGCTCTGCAGCTACTGTGTCCAAGTTCATGCTAGGAAGTAGCAGAGGATGGCTCAAGTCCTTGGATCCCTGCCACCATGTGGAAAATCAGACAGAGCTCTGGTTCCTGG